TATATACTATAATGATATAACATTTGGTATAATTAAATTATTTATCAGTATATCACTTGATTCATAGACGTTACCGCACCATATTCATTCTTTATATATATCCCATGTTATATAATTTACACGGTATTCGATAGAATTTTCTGGTGTATATAATTTTCTTATGTTCATTATACTTGTGAACATAAGAACTCTTATGTTTATTTAATAAATATCAAAATTGATCAGTGTTCCGACCAATACTTAATTCTGTTGAGATGTCACTGCAGGAAAGACGAGGTTCCAGTTGTATCATGTACGTAATTCTAGCTAGACAAGCTCTAATTTAACAGCAGGGAACAGGGCTTGTATGTAACGATGCACATGAACGGAAGAAATTCCTGGCTGCACACAGATTACCAGCAACATTTTTCATTATCAATCACGTCAACGAATGATCATTATTACCATGTCCATTAGTTATTGAATAATTTGTCTGGGACATTTTAGTAACCGATGGGATGGGGTAAATTGTAATGCAGTTTCTATCAGTTCCCTTCTCACTCTCAACGTCGGTTTCAGCACCAATATTGCTGTTGTCTGCAGGTTTTTTCTCGTTTATCTCCCCTTTCTTGGATGAAGAATAGCACATCGTTTCTACAACGTTAAAGATAACCAATATTAGTTAATTAGCACTAATGAGATTCTTAATAAATTTTCAAAGAAGCTCAAGGAATGAAAAGATCAAACAGTTCAGATTACTGTATTATTTTTTCTATTTACTCAAGTTACCAATACTAAACAAACTACCTGTGTTTATTTTAAGTCACTAATTATTAGAAAACACAAAAGTGGTGAATTTGACACCTTATTTAATGATTCTCTTTCCAATGAAATATGACCAACAAGAGAATGTATTAAAAGGAGTGTGTTAGAGAATGTGTTATTAACACTCTTTAGATGAGGAAATCCAGAAATACACTCTTTTGACACACAAATAGCTAAAGATGAACTTAGGAAATAACGATGTTTCACAATGATTTTAAACTCAAGGAAAACTATCTTCTTCTCAGCCAATTTCTATAAGCATACAAATGATGAAGCCAGATTTATCACTACATCCTTCCTTGGTGACTAGAATTAATTCTTGCTTTAGATATATAAGCTTATGTACGGCAACAAGGTGACCCTGCTAAGGGAGAATATGGCTTCTCACTTTTCTGTTCTGTCCAGACATTGACATTCTTAATTTTATGAATATGTTGATGTAAGTTGTTTACATAGGTAGTAGGATAAATAAGACAAATTGCTACAAAGTACAGATGCATAATAAAGAAGTTAGGTATGTGTACACTACATGGTCAGCTGAATTAGTGTTCCTGCCACAAGACATAAATAGTTGTTAGTCATGTCAAATGGGACTTTCCACAAATAACTATTTATAGAATATTGCAGTTAATCTCAAGACAGGAAAATCCAGATTAATTTTGCCCAAAGTTTCAAGTGTGAAGCCTTCAACACAATAACGCTAAATCCTTACCTTTTATGCTACCATGAGTTACGAGTCCGCGAAGAACATCCAAGAACTTGGTCAATATAAGCCTTTCCTGCTCTCCGTAAACATCAGTGCATCCATCAGAATTAAATGACTTTTGAATCATGTTTTGATAAGTGTTGTTGCATGCAACTCCATTTGCAGAATTATTTCCAAAAAGCATAGCATCTTCTTCATCACACATCAATGCCGCTGTATCCGGTGATAATGGCCGATTACAATTGGCAATATCAACTTCATCTTTATTCATGCCATCATCAGAAACAGGCCGGTTGACATCTCTAGTTTCTTGAAGCGATTTAGCTGATAAAGCAACAGAAGATTCAACGTTCCCAGATTTTGTTTGCTGGTCAACTCTCATTTCTGAAAAGTGGGAAAACAATTTAAATGCCAATTGTGTTCAGATAAAATATGTCAAGAAGATATGGAAAGAGGGAAAGCTAAAAGCAGCATAAAAAGACAAAAGTATTGACAGGTATGTGAACCTTGACTCTGAAACCTACATCTCCGAAGATATGCAACTGCATAATGACACTTATGGCCAAATTACGTTTATGGCAAAAAATGAAAGACTTTAGGCATATTTTAGTAGTGTTTATGAATACATAACTAATTGAAAAAGTGAAAAAAAATGGCTGAAAGTATTTAGTGTGCGAAGGTCTCAAAAGGTTTTCACCGGAATCCCTTTCTTACGTAAATTTATTATTAAATGACACTAGCTTCATTAAAAATAACCTCATTAATTATATTAAATGTCAATAGTTTCCCTTCAAACTTTACAAATTGAATTCTTTCAGCACCAAATATTCAATAGTAAGTTTTTATGCTAAAAAAATGGGTTTTTTTTAAATATATATCATGACAATAACACCACTTCTCCTAGTTTATCCCTAAATTAGAAGTAAATATTTAACTACATCTTCAAAACGATATAAAGAGGACAAAATAGGTGTAAAAATAAAATAAAACAGATGCTTACATTAAATAAATGTCCTACCAGAATGAAATTTAGAATACTTGCAAACAAAAATAATAAAAATTATTCAGCAGACAGTAGATAAACCAAATTATTTTTAAAACAAGATAAAGTAAACATCCATGTTTTGCTAATTAAAAACCTTTATTTGGATTTGCAGCTACACGTGAGAGAACAACAAAAAGTGAACAGAGATTCTTCACATTCTGTGACTGGAGGACATCTGCCAATACGGACCTTCAGCATGAATAAATAGTTGGTTATAATTTATTTTTTTTTACATGTAAATTTAAAACATTAGATAGATTTGTCAAATATTGATTACAAAAGTTATATACCGGTACGTAGATCTTGAAGACCCTGAAAATCTTGTGTTGGCAGGGTCAGAAACAAAGGAATCTGACAGAGATGAAGGTGATGAAGCCATATGATCAATTTCCTGATTAAAATTCAAAATAACGTAAAAAGCATTATATTGAGTTTGGATGTCTGAGGATGGAGGAAATTGGTTAATAAACCAACTGGAAAATAATATGGAAATCAAGGGTTCGATGGGATAAAGCTAGCGCTGAAATGTTGATTTACGTTATGCGAATATGCTATAATTACAAGAAAAAGTTATTGCATTGTTGGATTCATATAATTTACATTTTCCAATCCAATGATAATGAACGTACTGCATAAAGAATAAGTAAATTATTATTTATATAAAACCAAGTAAATTCTGTCAAGAATGCAAAGAAAGCACCTGTTGGTATTGAGCAATCATGTTAACAGTTTGATCCATGGCCGACTTTCCAGGAAACATTTCCTGAATTTTTCTCTTCTTGGGTGTTAAACGGGTTCCATAGCCAGATGATCCAACAACTCCGGTATTGGCAGCATTAGATGCCTGTTTGATGTGAACTAGATTATACTCTTTGTGCAAAATTGCTCTTCTTTCATCACTTCCTTCAAAATTCTTGCAGTCCATGCATTTACAATTTTCAGAGCAGAGGATATTGGCTTGGAAGCACTCACAATACTTCTTAAGGCAACCTGATTTCTTGCAGTGACATCCTTTATTGTGCTTTCCTATTACTTGAATTTCACATTCCTGTGTTGAAAGAAGATATTTAAAAGGACGACAAGTCAACTAAAATATCAACTAAACCCAGAACAGAAAGTTCCATCATAAAAACTTAGCTCAAGAGCTTCATGCCAAAAGCCAATTACACGTGTTTGAGGGAGGTTAATTGAATTACAAACCTTGAAATCTCGTGGTTCTTGCGGACTGCTAGCAATTTTTGGTCTGAAAGCATTTGGATTACGTTCCAATGTTATCCCAACTGCCTCCTGTCTGGCAGCCTCATTATCCACATTATTGTGACAGTTTACACAGTTGCAGCCATCACAATAGATCCCAGCTGCAAAGCACTCACAGTACCTAGCATTTGCCAAATTAGGTTTTGCCAGTTAAAGAGAAAGAGACCAGGAAAAGAACATGCAAGATTTTTAGATATAGCATGGTTATGTGATGAAGTACTCTCGATTAAAGTTTTTATTACGGAGAAGCCAAAGTACTTACAATTTGAGGCACCTAGAATTTTTGCAGTTACATTGTTTCTGTTTCTTTGGAGTGGTGTCCTTTAATTCCACATAACATCGAGGTTGTGATCTAGGAGACTCTAGCTTCCTGAAAGAAAACAAATTAATCCACAGACACAATAAATCAGTACAAAAGTTCTTACTGTGAGGCAAAATTTAATAGAGTAAAGAGATAAAACACTATTTCCAACCCCTTTATGGACTGATGAAATATTTGTAGATTGTAGTGTTTTCCTTAACAAGTTTAGCTCTTTTGAGTAGTTTCCGAGTTTAGCAGCAAATTTATGATACTTCTTTTCCCAAAATGCATACAATACTATTTCCCTATTTTACCCGCAATTCAGATGATTGTAACCACCCTCAAAAAGATAATGATGAGCCCCATTGCATGCCGATACAAGCAAACCAATCTCACTTTTATTAATGTTGGAGAAAATAAAAAGAATTAAACAAACATTTATGATTGCAAAAATGGTTTATCAACTGCAATTAGAAGGAATTCCAGGCTTCCAGCCCCTAGAAAATGATTGCTACTTACATTTTTTATTTTTTTCCACAAAAACACTCTTCTCCAGAATCTCACTCTTACAAATTTTCCACGAATCATTCTTTTTTGTGTATCTAATCAAATTCAAATTATTTCAGCCAACAACCGATGTCTTGAAATAGAAGCCAACTTCTAGCACATACCTTCCGTTCTTAGATTCATATACAATCTTAATCGAACTAAAATTTAAAACACGTATCTAATTCAACATTCTCTACGCATATTGTTACGCTTTAGCACGATCCGAGTACTCCTTATCATTCAGACAGAGCAAATCAAAACGCTACCGTTTCTTTTCTTTGTATTTCCTTTTCTTTTGAGCGCTAATTATACTTACACCGCTTGCAACACCTTCACCGGAAGCTTCTGCACCGGGTGCGGAATTCGACGAAGCGGCGAAACTAGCTTCGGCCGCGGTGCTTGCAATTGCGGCATTACCGGAGACTCAGGTGTCCTCTGCCGTGAATATAACCACGACCGTTGCCCTGGCGGATGCAAATCCAATTGCAATTGCAACGGAGAATGCGGCGGCGGCGGCGGCTGAAGCGTCTGACACGGAGACTGAGGCAGCGGTGTCGGCGGCGGAAGTTTCAGGTGCGACGGATCACCGCAAGCGGCGGTGAAATCCAATTGCCTGGCCAATTTCCGCGGAGCTAAATCAAACGTCGTTTCGCTCTGTTCCATTTTAAAACGCACAACAGTGATCAGAAATGGATCTCGCTAAACAGCGGCTTGGTTTGCTGTGTTACTCTTAACGACTCGCCGTTTCGAAATGCGTTACCGAAACGCACGGAAAGCGCTTCAGCTAAGTTAGTTGTAACGAAACGGAGTGGCGTCGGCCTCGGAGTGGCGCCATAAATTCGCGTGCGTTACGAATTGAATAAGCAAGGAATCAACGGTGATTAAGAGAGAGAGAGAGAGAGTTTTGGTTTTTGATGAATAGAAAGAAGCAATGTCGCCGGAGAAAGGGTGGTTTGAGGAAGAGTATGGTGTGTGTGGCAGTGGCAGCTTTCTCTCCCTCTCGAGATTTTGAAAATTGAATTGAATAGGTTGAAGGGTTTGATTTGACGGTTGAGATTTGCTGGCGGAGCTTGAAGTGTCCCGTTTCCGTTGGATTCGGAAAAAGGTAACGGTACTTTCGGGATAATGACGGAGATAAATTTTGGCGCTAATCGATTCCAATGGAGGAGTACATCTTCAGCACGCACAAATCTAAATTCGAATTCAGGTGGCACCAATTCATTAAAAGAAAATTAAATATATAAAAAATTATTTTATTTATTTATAGTCAAACTTTACTTGCATCGATATTAAACTGCTCACAAACTCTAACCAATTTTTTTATGAACATAATTTATTCGGTGTATAAATATAACAATTAAGAACTAAGTTCAGAATTCATGCTTTCTGATAGCCAAATATTAAACTCCAACCATTTTAAGAAGTCATCTCCTTTTTCATTTGCCTCTCGCCTCGTCACCTTCCACCTGCGATACATATATCGAAGTAAGATGTGCAAACAATATAATTTTTTCGACACGTTTTTTTTTATTTTAATTATAACAATTGTTTCAGCATTTGAGCATATATACACATTAATAGGATATAAAAAAAATTATATATTCGTAGAGTAAGGGAACTACATCAATAATTCACAACACATGAGAATGTAATAATTAAAAACTTTGTTTTCTCTTACTATTTTTTTGTCTTATTAAAAAATTTGAGTTCAGAATCTCAAATAATGTACCCTTATTTTTATTTAAATTTAGTTTAAAATATTCAGTATAAATATAATGATTCATACTCAAAATATTACAATTAAATTATAAACTATATACAAATAAAGTAATACATTTAAAATAACAAATAATTTGTATGTAATATCATTCAAAAATTTAAATTAATAATATCATTTTTAATTGAATTCAAGTCAAATTTGAATCTAAATAGACCTACTTGAATAATAATTTGTATGTCATATATTTTTCTCCTGTATATGACACCTAATTTATTTGATTTTTTATAGTTTTACACTTTGAGATAACATAAAATGCTTAAACAAGAATCTAAGAAAAAAAAAAAGGAATTTTATCACATTTGAAAAATAACCTTACTCAATTTTGAGATTCCAAACTAAGCGTTGCCGTTATATACAATCACTTTTTTCTAAAAACAATTGTTGTTTGCCATACAAAATAAAAAGTTTTATTAATTGATAAATATCATGTGGCAAGCACTAATAAACTTATTTATTTATCTTCCTAAAGTATTTTTCATTTTTACTTTTTAACAATTTAATTTCGTATTTCGCATCATATATAAAATCAAATATTGACTCGAGTTAATTTACAAATTATTAGTCATGTTATTACTTAACTCAAATAAAAAAATAAACTAAATCATATTTGTAACATTAATAAATTATACTTTTAATTATGAATATTGTTGTCACTAACTCAATCGAATCAATATTAAGACAACATAGTTAAAAATAATAATAATAATAATAATAATAATAATAATAAATAATAAAAAAACATTATTATGTGATCATGTATTTGTTGTGAGGTCAGTAAAAAATGATATCTTTGGCATAATTATAAAAAAGAAAATTGAGATGTGATAATTTTTTCAAAATTTTCTTTTTGTTATAAATTATTTTTCTTTTACCATGTTTCAAATTATAAGAATAATTTACGATTATAAACATGTATTATACTTACAAATAAAAATAAAATAAAATAATAAATAAGTTAGTGATGGCAACTCCCTTCACGAACTCCTTTACAAAACACATAAGGGGAAACAAGTCTACCCAAAATCTTCTATCATATTATAGTAAGTTAATAACCAGCCAAATATGAAAAAGAGAGGGAAATTGTACATGCTCACTCATCATTTCTTCCAAACACATCCTGATTAAGTTGGATGCTATGTCACTGTCACTCATATACCTGATAGCCATCAAAGTGTGCTAAGTGATTTATCCATCGCTGTCATTATCATTTTTTTTCTAGTTGTGACTTGTGGGTAAAAAATATGCCAATGACTTGTGCATGTAGCATCACACTCGTATTTATTAGAGAAATTCTTGGGATGGGAACGTTAGTTACAGACATATTTAAATTCGTTTTTTTACATGTGTAAAAGGCTTATAAACGAAGCATACACTATTCTATATATATATTTCAATACATTCCAAACATTTTAATTTAACATATTGTTATTTAGTTTACTACAAATCAATTTCTATCATTTAAATTGATATAATATATAAATTAAAATTCGTAGCAATCAAAGTTAAAGTTAATAGTTATTGTCATAAAATTATAATAATGTACACTACTAAAACTAAAACATATAAATGAATGCTCATTTTTTATCATGAATAAATATGTAAACACAGGTGAGTGCATCCATATATTAAAATAATTATTATATAAGATTTTATATAAAATTAAATTAAAAAACATTATATTTAAAAATAGATGTATTTTTCATTTCACTAACGGCAATATTCATAATAATACAAGTATTTTTTTAAAATATTTAAAACAAAAAATTAAAACAATAAGATATCCTCATAAATTATTTAAAAACTAAGAGCATAAACGCATGCTAGATCATGGCATAACTGAGATAAGGAATCCACCTGGTGTTTGTTGATTTAATTTTTATTAGTATTGAAATAATATTTAATTAACAAAATTCATATTTTATAAATATAAATGAATTAATTTTTAATTGTTAATTTTAAAATATTATGTAAATTATTTATTAAAAAAAGGAAAATAAAAAAATAAAAAAAAAATGAAAAGAATTATTTGGGCAAAGGCATGACAGACAGGTGCAAGACCTCAGAACTGTTTAGTGATTTGGGTTTAGGGTTTGTCTCACTTATTTGGCCTAAAAGAAATTGAGAAACTTGATATCGACCAATTTTGCTAAGCCGTCTCAATCCTTAAACACTGATGCATGTGGGCCACTGCTTCTGCTAAGGAGAAACAACCACGTATGAAATTTCATTTATTGAGTTGGAGTAACATTTTAGATTTTCCACATTTTCATAAATTTTCCCAAAATATTCAAATTTATATTAGGCTTTTGAACAATGTGGTTGATTAAATTAATGTCTTACGTCCAACACGTTTAATTCGCCCATAAACATAAAGTATCTTTCGCATCGATGGGAATTACCGAATTAGCGACGTCGATCATGAATTGACCTTAAATTTGGCCCATTCTCATCGTTTTTTTTTAAGTTGAGGCTGAAATGTACTTATTATATTGTTAATTGATTTTTATCTTCCAAAGTTTAATTGAGTAAAATGGATTTTTTAATTATTTTGGATCATTCAATTTTAGTTTCTCTATTAATACTTTTGATAAAAATCTGATGACGTCCAATTTATATGACGATGGTCAGGAATTTGACACGCGTATCAAAATACGAAAATGGACTGAATAAGTGACGTAATAAAAGACTTAAATGTAATACTAATCAAATTTAATTTAATTTTATATATATTATAAATGTTTTTAGAATTTAATCACAATAATTTAAAGAAAAAAAGTGAAGAAATATTTTTTAAAAAAATTTAATTGAATAAAATTGCATAATGTTGGATGCATGTAAATAAATACAAATAAAAAACACACGGATTTGATTTCACTATGTCGTCCTAATCACTTATTAAGTTATAATTTGTGTTATTTCAATGTCCGGTAAAATATTTAAATCCTAATTCTTTGTGTTTGAAAGTCTAAATTCCTTAATTAAAATATTAACTATTTATAAAAGTCAATTAAATGGTTAACATTAAGATAAAATGACAAAGTGAAATATTGGCTAATAAACCTTATACTATATTATCAAAAAAACTTTATTAGATTTTTCTTTCAATTTACAATTTCAAACGTGTCTTTCAAAAATATTATAGAAGTGTTATGAAGTCGACACTTTTTCAAAGAGGATCTTATCACTCATTTATTAAACTTTTATAATTTGATAGAAAATAAAGTTAAATTTGTAATCTTTTGATATAATAAATAGGTAATCAATAGAGAAAAAAAATATTTTAAAATTGTATTTTTATTATATCCAACTATTATTTAGTAGAATGAGATTAAAAAAAACAACTAATGTATAGAAGTTTTTGTTTTTTTCTAAAATTCTTAACAATTTTTCTCTCTTTAGGAGATTTATTTTATTTATTTTTTTATGAGATTCACCTCTATTTACCTAAAATCCTCTAAAATCACTTCTCCCAAACAACCTAATTTTGTTCAATTCTTTGCAAATCATTCTCCTCCTCTTTTAATCTACTCTATATCATAATCCCTAAACACACTCTTAAATGTGAACGAACAATAATAATAGAACACATCAAAACCTACTTAACTAATCTAAAAGTATATAGTTTAAGCAAATTTATCTTTTTGAAGTTGACTCGCTTAAACTTGAGTACTTTCCGCTTAAGTGTGATCCTTTTTTTTTTGTCTAACTTAAACTACCAAAAATGTCTTTATTAAGCTAAAGTTAGTTTTTTTTTTTCTCACAACTTTTCCACCTATAAAATCTCATCAACACTAAAAAAATGAATAAATAAAAGTCATAAAATTGTTTTAAATTATTTATTTTAAACAAAGTTCAAAAACATATAAATAAATAAATAAATAAATAACAATTATCGATATATGTTTACAAATGTAAATCATGCATAACAATTATCAATGATATTTTTTTTAATGTTGAAATTATCAATGACATGATGTTAATATAATGAATAACATAAACACTAAATTGTGGATAATATATTTGACATAACGTGATAGGGTACATGTGAAAATAAATTAAAAAAAATTGTAAAAAAAAAGAGATTAAATCTATATTAATAAAATACCTTTTTTATAATATATTTATATTCAATGTATTTAAATAATTAATTTATTAGTTAATCTATTAATAAATTATTGTTAATACTAATAATATATATAAGTTTTTTTATTTAATATTAAATATATGTTCATATTTGATTCCCATTAAAAGTGTTTATATTGTAACTTTAATTTATATCTTAAAGAAATATAATAATTTTGCCGTTGAATGTTGTTTTGAAGATAAGTATGTGAAGTATTTCATTTTTTTTTTGAATATTTTAACAATTTTCACTTATTTTTATATATTATATCATTACCTTATATCGTTAGCACATAATTGTTCGCATCATTTGCTACACAATTTCATCGATTAACATCAATTACATCATTAAAATATCATATTTACACAATTATAATATTTA